CTTTGACCTTAGCTAAAAATTGAAAATAATATATTGTTGCTTCCTAGCTAATTCCACAGGGTTGTAATCATAATCATGGAAAGAGAACTGAACTGTTTTATTAAAAGAAGAGACCCCAGTTAATGTGCTCTTTTTCTCTCTTGAGTGCTGAAGTGACCTTTAGTGCAATCCATATGATTTGGTCTCTTTGTCTCCCTATAAGAGTTGTGTGACCTTAGACCTATTTCAGCTGAGTTACAATGGAGGAAAGAACGCTAAACGAATGATTCGAATTTGTTGGAATTTAAATTTCCTTCTCACTTTTTTACCATTCTTTTTTTTTTCTTTATTTTCGCATTCATTTCTGCATGATTTGTTATTTTCTGATCATAGCACTTGTTTCCAGCTTAATAATTCTTTCTTGCAAGATATATATTGGTTTTATCCTAACATCTTTTAACTTTAATTTCCTCTGTCCTGCTTTTCGTTGCAGTTGGAAATTTCCTGATTTTACGGAATCTTTGGAGGGTTCTTATATTTATCATGCCTTTGTCTTTTTCCTTTCTACAATTTATGTTCCTGAATATTGTACCCTTCGAAATATTACAATAATAATACTAAGTATCCTTTCTCATAATGATGCTGTTCATTCGTAGCTGAGCATGGTTCTTAGTCATGTGGCATGTAAGAGATTCATGACTAGAACCATACTCAGCTATGTGACCCGGCATTCTTAACGGTCTATCTCTTATTGTGTTATCTATTTCTTACTTGTTCCTTCCTTTGTCATACTGAGTAACAAAGGTTCTCAAGTGATGTTGTTTCCCATGTTTCCCGTATTATCTCTTACAAAAGTTTTTTTTTTTTTTATGTGATGGCTTAGCTGTGTGGAAGTTCCAAGAGGAGAAGTGTGAGGTAGGATGGAAGTTCATGTTCATTTTAACAGATGAAATTGGGTCATTGCTGTTTAATCGGAAGTTAAAAGTCACAGGAGGGGGTCCAAAAATGATGCTATAGGGTCGTCTTGAATCTTGAATATCTTGCGATATCGTAGTTGTGAGTACTGTCATAAGGTTAGATTGCGTGTGTAGAGAGATTTATCGGAGTCTGATTACGAGAAGAGCAGAATTTCATCCCTCTCTTTTTCCTCCTCTTCCTTTACAGTTGGTTTGGTTATGTAGTTGTAATAGAATTGGAGTTTTTTCCTTTGTTTTCTTGTCTTCTTGTGTTACCAAAAGGGATATTCTTCGTAGGTTAAGCCTAAACTTTCGAAATTTGAGTTAAAAAAGATTGTTGAATTATGATGCTATAATCAAGCGTTCTTTTGGCAGGAAATTCTATTGAAACGGAAGAGTGAAATCTATGTTTGTGAGTGTCGTTCTTTAAATCTATTTGTTTTGTTGTTTTCTTTTTTCTTCTTTCCTCTCTACTACATAGTATACAGAGGGCATTTATAAGGTTTGGACGGTTTGGACTGAGATGAGGTTTTTTTTTTATCGGTCGGCATGAATCATTTCTTTTTTTTTTCTCTCTCTTCTCCTTTGTTAGTAAAGAAAGAGTAATATATTGGAAAGACGTTAAAAAGAACATATGTGTTGTTGACCTTCCTTTTGGTATATGCCCATTGTCAGCTGCCTAAAATTTTCCATTCTCAATTAATGATTAAAAAATTATTTGGTGGTGAGTAAACGGGAAGTAGTAGTAGTTATGACGTTACCGTTATCAAAGTAAGATGCAAATCAGTTAGGTTAAAGTTTTACTAGTTTGTTTCGTGAACTGGAGGGAGAGGTGGAATACGAATGCTTCTATAGTGCTTCCCTCTCTCTCTCTCTCTCTCTGTTTCAGTGGTTGAGATGAAAAGGCTGGCTTCTTGTGTATTCGATAGTTCACGATATGTTGTAACTCGTAGTAGATTGAGTTGATAATGGTACCACAATTCTGTAGAAGGGGTTGTGACAGTATAATATATGAAATATGAATGAATGAGTAAGTGTGAGAGAGATGAAATGTATATTCTTTATGTAAGATTATTTTCCACTTGGTGAAGTGAGCGCCGGTTTTGTTCGAGCATATGCATTTCCTTGGTTGTAAATCAGAGTGATAACTAGTATCGTCTTTCTCACGCTTGCTTCCTTCGGTTAACTACATCAATCAATCAATTAAAGCTGATGGATTTACTGTAGTTTGCTTCTTTGTTTATGGAGATGATTAGTGTGTTAAAGCAGTTTGGGAGATTGCTTGCACTGTTTCTGAGAGTGTGTGTGTGTGTGTGTGTGTGGTATTTGAGAGACACGAATTGTTGGAGTTATTTCTCAGATAAGAATTTATGGTATTCCTTGGATGAGATGTACTGGGTACGAATTTAAACTGATTTTGAAATTCCGGAATATTCATGGCTAAGCTTGAACTGCCAGTGGTCTTGTGATCCGTTGAGAAATTTTGGATCGAATCACAGCCAACTGGTGGCTCAGCTTGCTGTGTGCTGCACTTTTTCTTGGATTTCCTTTGTTGTTGTCTGTGGTTGAGGTTTACTTTTAGCGATGATTCCTTTGAGTAGTCATATTGAAGTAAGATATGTCCAATTTCTCATGAATGTAATGTCATGATCACGAAGGACCTTATCCCTCTTTGTAGTTCTGTTAACAAATCTCGTGAGCCGTATCGGCTTTGTGGTACATTGTAATTCGGTTATGCATCACAGCACGATTCGGCTCGCGAAGTGTTAATTTTTCATGTTATCTGGGAATCTGTTATTTTTACCTTCCGTACACTCCAAATATCTTTAGAAGCCATCCTTACTTACGTGAAGTATTCTGAATGCTGTAATTGTTTTATTTAAATTATGGGAGTAATGGCCTGGATTTTGTCCAAAGCGTTGTAATACAGCTTTGGCACCATTCAGACCACTACACCTAATTTCACCTTTATACCTTTACTTCGGGCATTGTTGTGATTTCATAAACCTATGAAAAGATGTTTATAAGTGTGGTTTGTTTCATTTATTTAAAATACTAATGATCGTATATTGAAAAAGAAAGTCATTTTTTTTTTCGTTTTTTAGCAAGCCTGGAAGCAATCATATAATCATCCCGAACTTACTGTGGACTGAATCGTTCCGTGTTGTGTATACTGAAAGTTCCTGAAATCTATGATCCATTTATTGTTTTGAAATTGGCAAATAACCTATTGTCTATAAATAATCCTACCAGTAACATTTATAAGTGTCAATTTTTTTTTTTTTTTTTGCATGTCGGGTGTACTGTATGTTGGATTTCTTGCAAGAAGATGAAAATTTTGTTCCTTAGAAATATGTAATGGACTTAACATCTGTTCCCTAAATAATTTATAGCATATATTTGCTTATTAATAAACAGAATTAATAAATTACTAAAATTATTCCTATTCTTAGTTTCTAAAATTTGTAATGCTTTTTATTGAGCACATAACTTCTTTTTTTCGTCAAAGTTTTCGAAGATTTCTGGTGCCATTTTATCAAGGCTGCAATTTCCATATTTTTCCTTTTTTTTTTTCTAAATTATTTAGCCAAGTTATACAGATCAGTTGGAAGAGGGAATGTTATGAAATTGGTTAGCTTTTTGATAGGAAATTTTGCATTTGATTAATGCAACCTTAAGCGTGTATGTGTATATATTATAAACAGGTACCTATCTCCGATTGGTATCGAAATATTATTGAATGTTTTTGCTGGGAATACAATTACTATTTCCCATCTTATCTATTGCTTTCACAAATACTTTGTTTGCATACATAATAATATATCAATCATATAATTTGCTAATACAACATCGATTTATACCAGTTCATATTGCAAATGCTAAAGTATTTTAATACATTTACAAATTTCATTTTACTACAGTAACAATTAAATTAAAAGATTTTTTTTTCTCTAAGTGATAAACTTGAACAACAATAAGTAAAAAGAGTTAATCAATTTATAAATTGTAACATCATGGGAAATTACTTCATCATGTAATAATTTACTCAATAGACGATCAATTAAAAGGTTTGCAAATTTTGTAACGAGTACCAAGCTTTATTCCCTAATTTATAATTTATATTTTTCGCTTCAGTTTCAAATTTCGGTTTTCGTTATCGTTAATTTAAATTACAGCTCCATGAGAAAATCCAATAAAAAATTGTCTTGCATATTGTGTAAGCTAATGAATGTAAGCATCAAACACATACTTCGATGGTGGACAGTTGACACATATTGGCGATCTTTTGAGTGTTTCAACATCTGTGATTGGAGTGCTTTGTACATGTTGGGAAATCATCAGCTGTCGTTATTTCATTATTATTATTATTATCGTTATTTTATTATTATTGTTATTGTCATCGTCGTCGCCATTTATTATTAACAATATTATTAATTTTACCGTTATTACTAATTATTATTATTATTATTATCGTTGTCATTATTAAATTATTATTACTATTAAATTAAAAAATTTTATTATTATTATTATTGTTATTATTATTATTATTATTATTATTATTATTATTATTAAAATATAATTGACTGAAATATATGATGAATAAGCCAATAAAAATAAGACGCGTAAATTATTTGCAAGCAAAAATTTCATGATGAAATGATTTGTGCAAAAATCTATTTCATTTGTTTACATTGTTTATCGAAAGTTAGTTTAAATGAAAAATAAACAAAAATGAAAAAAAAAAAAGAAAAAAGGAAGAAATTTAATCATTCTTATTTCATCAAAATGACCAATGATTGTTTAGTTATAGTGAAATGAAATGCATGAAAAGTATGTGAAATTCTTTTCAATCATTCAATTATTAACATCATCATTAGTCATACAGAAAATGCTATACTGTTGCTATTTTATTTTACTGTTTTTTTTTTCAATTCATTTTTTTAAAATATTTCAAAGTATGAAATTGATAAATGAAAAACAAAAAGAAAAAAAAAATCAGCAAAAAAAAGAAAAATGAAAAAAATGTATAAAATTACTTTTACACAATTACAAAAAAAAAAAAAATCAATTGGACCATAATAAATTAGTTCTTATATCAATAGCTGGTCTTCGATCTGCTTCCTTAAATTTCTTTTCAAATTTTTTGTAAACTATTTCACGAAACATTTCATAGCATTGACCCTGAAATAAAGATAAAGAATTAAAACAATGATCATTGTTGAAAGTAATATTATAGTCAATAAAAATTATTTCTATAAATTATTTATTACACTAAAATGGAAATGAAATTAATTTGATGAAATTATATATTTTTTTTTTATTATTGATAAAGAATATTTGAATGAAATATGAGTAGCAATGATAGTAAATATTTGTTTTTGTATTATCTATTATTGATATCATTTGATAATACATTTAAATTATTTAAATATTTTACGAAAACTTTTATTGATTTTGATATTTGTCTAATAGATTATTTTATATTTTAAACTCGATTAAATTTAAAATTGCCCTTTTCTTTCTATTAATTTGCATTTGTTTATATTTTTATCATTCATACAAAATTTTGATATGAATTTTTGATTCATAAGTTGAAAATATGTAAAAAAATTATTTGTAAAATGATCAATTGAAAAGTTTTCATTTACAAAATTCTAATAAATTCTTTGTTAAATTTGATAATATTAATGTTGAAATTTAACTTCACTTTTTTCATGTTTAATTTGTTATTTTTGTTTAAATTTAATTTTTTGCTCTTCAAGCTGATGATTTTTAATTTCAAATTGATTGAGCGGTTTTTTCCTTTTTTTTTGTATGAACTGCAATCCAAAGCTTTTCAATAGATTAATAAGGTTAGTCAAATTTAATTTACAATTTATTTCCACTTTATAAACATTGTTTGAATTATTGCTAAATGGATCGATTAGATCTGATGATGATGATGATGATGATGATGATAGTAATGATAGTGATAATAATAATAATAATAGTGTTGATGGTAATAAAGGTGACAATAATGATGACAATGATGATTTATGTTGACAGTTGCGCCTATTTGTTCAGTTGTTATAAATTATAAAAATGATTTTACTTCGATATGATGTCATAGAGATTTGGAATGAAAGGAAACTGACTGTTAACTTTTTCTAACAATTTTATTATTTTTCAATATTTTACGATTATATTTTTTAAATTAGAAAAAAAAACTAATTATTTTGAAATGAAAAGAAACTTTCTTTTGAATTACTGAAATAAAATAATTTCGTTTGATGCTATATTCTATAATTTGAAATTGTAAAAAAAAAACGATCTTTACTAAATATTAAAACTTGAATTCAATATTTTCCATTAAATTTTTTGCTGAAAAATTTGGAAAAACTTTTGAATTTAACATTTTATAATCGTTAATTTATACAATCATTATGCAAAAGAAAAAAAAAGGAAATATTTGTGGTCAAAGAAGGAATAAAAGTAAAAAATTAGTAATATTATAAAACTAACTAAATTTTTTTAATGAATAAAAAGAAAAGAAATTAAATTTATTGCAAATTTAAAAAAAAAAAAATTTTTACATAATTTAATTCTAACAAATTAAAATTGAACTAACTAAATTTTTTTAATGAATAATTAAAATTGCACTAACTAAATTTTTTAGTGAATAAAAAGAAAAGAAATTAAATTTATTGCAAATTTAAAAAAAAATTTACATAATTTAATTCTAACAAATTAAAATTGAACTAATTAGCTAACTAACCTTAAAATTAATCCTTTTTCGTAAATTACCCTTTATGCAAATTTGATTAAAAATTCGTGTGACAAAAGCACTACATGTTGGACATGAACCATCAAAACAATGATAAGCACATTGATGTCGTAAGCAGTAATTAGTTTTAATAAAATTAAAATTTGTTTGCTGAATGCATTTTGTTGCACAATTCACCAAAACAGAACATTCATCTGAAATTTTTATCAAATTTTAAATTTTAACATTTCATTTTTTACATTTTGGTTGTTTTTTTTCCTTTATATTTTACCTAATTCCTTCTTTTTTTTTAGTAATTTTTTATATTTTAATTAATATTATTTGATATATAATTATTAGAAAATATTAAATATATAATTTCATTCATTAATCTTTTAATTTGTTATTTTTTGTTTTTTTTTTTTTTTTTTTTTTTATATATATTTTTAATCAATTGTTTAGGGAGTTGAAAAAAAAAGAATTTTTTTTCAATCATTTCTCTCTGAATTAAGAAGTAAAATATAATTTAAACAAAAAACAAATGAAAAATTTTCAGATTTTATTTAAATTTTGAATCTTTTTTTTTTCTAAAACATTTCTAATTTCTTTTCAAAATTTTTCATTTTTATCTGAATTACAAGGAAGAAAGGAATGATTTGGACAAAATTAGCAACACTTTATTTCAATGAAAATATCATTTAAATTGTTTTCTTCTTTTTTTTTAAGATATAAAAATTGTTTATTTAAATTTTCGTTCATTTTATCTCTTTTTCCTATTTTTCCAATTTTATAGTAATAATAGTTCTGCTATTAGAACTAGTAATAAATAATAATAATAATAATAATAAATAAATAAATAAATAAATGATAACAATAATAATAACAACTGAAATAATGGATGATAATAGCAAGAATAATAGATGATAAATTTAATAACTATGATAAATTGATTAACAACTAAATCTATTTCTCATACTTTAATTAATTAAAATATTTAATTAAAAAAAATTTCTGAATAAACTATTAACATACTCTCAGATGATCGTTCACTACCAGATAAAACATCAATTAATTGTTCTTTACTTAATTTACAAATTGGACAATTGTTGCATTCATCTAAACAACCAACTGTAAATATACAGCCATAGTCGATACTTTTATCCAAATCATTGTACATTTCTTTGTTAATGATTGAATCATTGAATCGATTGATAATGTATGATATCTGTTAGATAAATATTTTATTTATCAATAATTATTTTTTTTTTTAAAAAATATTTAAAAAAAAAAAATTGATGAATAATCTTTCTTTTCCTCTTCTTTTTGCTTTCTAATCCTTATAAAATGCTTCTTTTAGCATAAGCTATTTTAATTAATGGTAAAAGTAGTGGTAAAAATAACAACTAATTAATAATAATAATAACTGGAATAATGGACGATAATAATAATAATAGTAATAATAATAATAATAATAGTAATAATAATAATAATAATAAATAATAATAATAATAATAATAATAATAGTAATAATAATAATAATAATAATAATAATAATAATAATAATCATAATAATAATAATAATAATAATAATAATAATAATAATAATAATAATAATAATAATAATAATAATAATAATAATAATAATAATAATAATAATAATAATAATAATAATAATAATAATAATAATAGTAACAATAATAATAATAATAATAAAGGATAGTGATACTACTATTATTATATTTATTATTTTTATTATTAATCATTTTTCACAAGTACTTTATGATAAAAATACTTATCATCAGATCTATCGTCATCTCTTTCTTTTCCTTCTAATTGAAAAATATTCAAATTTTTGATTATATTATTCTTATCAATCTGATCAAAACAAGCAGAACAAAGCAAACATTAAACGTTTGATAAAAATTTGAAATTTTTATACATAAATTTTTGAAAATTAAAAAAATTTTTTAATTCATACCTTTAGACATTTTTTTCTCACTGCACAAGTCAATAGTTGATTACATCGTTGATTGGTTGTTTTGTTAGCTCTGATCGGTATGATAAGAAAAATGATGAAAAAATTGATGATCACGTATAAAGTAAGCATCACGTGAAACGTGACAAAAAATTATTCTGTTATGAGAATTACGTCAAAAGTATGCGCAAACCTAAAAAATAAAAAAATATCAATTACATAAATTGTGGAACAAACATTTTACATTGTTTAAAACAAAAAACAATTGATAATTAGTACAAATTGTAAATGACAGAAAAATTCATCGCTTCATTATGTTAATTTAATTTAATTTAATTTTTTCAAACTCAATTAGTTGATATGTGAGTAATGATTAACTGAGTAAGTAATTGTGACAGAATTGCAAATGACAATTTTAAAATGAAAACAATTAATGTGAATTAAATATTATTTTTTCATCTGATAAAATTTGAACATTTTAAATTATTTTTTTTTCTTTTTTTCAAAAAGCAATTATCATTGTTGTCCTTAATAGAGCGATTATTTAGTTACAAATATCTTTGAAATTTAATTTAGTGAACCGTAAAAATGATTTATTGTCGATCGTATTTGATTGAATGAATTAAAAGCGAATTAGAAGAGAAAAATAGTATGGATTGAAAAATATGATTAAAATTTATTTCAAATGAATAAAAAAAATAACATGAAAATTTAATTTAAATTTTCATTGTTTTATCGTTTCTTTTTCTAAAAATATTGTTAAATTTAAATTTTAACATTAATAAATAATGAAGAAATGAGAAAAAGAGAGAGAGATAACAATAATGATAACAATGATAAAAATTAATGATAATGTTAATGATAAGAAACATTAGTTTTGCTTTATATTCTGTGTTGTTTTAAAATATAACAAATTTTTTGCCGTATTTAAAAGGAATTTTGTTAAAAAAAAAAAGAACGCTTTTACAAACAATCTGTTTTGTTTTTTTTTTCTTATTCATTTAATTTTATTAAGCAAAATTAGTTTACTTTTAATTTTCATTTTTCCTTTTTCTTCTATTTCGTCTAAAAATAAATACTCTTTATTTTCTCTAAAACAGAAAAAAAAATGAAAAATCTTGTTTTAATTTAAATTTAATCACTTCATGATTTTTTTTTAACATGATTTGATATAGAAAATGATTGAATGATTAAATTTAATTTAATTAGCTATGAAGTGGAAATGAAATATTAGCTAAAGATTTATTGAAAGATGTATATTTGTTAACACTCAATGTATTATTGCTAATTTAATAGGTATAAAAATTTAATAACAAGAATTAAATTAAATTAAATTAATTATTTTACTCAATTTTTAACTTATAATAAACGAAAGAAAAAAAAATTATGAGAGAAAATGGAAGAATATGAAAGGTTAAATTATTATTTAAATCAAATTTTTTCAATATAGAAAAATAAATTAAAGTTAGATAATTTTTAGTATATGAAAATTCCAAAAAAAAAAATGAACAGAAAAAAAAGAATATTATGATTAGTTAGTACAAATTGAATTTTAGTTAAATTTTAAACTTAAATAAATTTTAATGAAATTTAAAAATAACTTAATAATTAATTGTTAGAAATTCAAATATTTATAAATAAATCTGAAATGATGCACGTAAAAGAAATATTTTATTTAATTAAATGTTTATTTGCGCTCATCGATTTCAATGCGATGCTTTTTTCGTTTTTTCATTTGGAAGTAAATTAATTTTACCAATTATTTTTACTGGTTTTCTTCATTATTCTAATCGTTTTTCACAATAAACTTTTGATAGAATTCACAAAAGAAGAAAAAAAAAATATTAGCAATAACAAGTTTTGCAATTATTTAGCAAAAAAAAAATTCAAAATATTTAAAAAAAAAAATATTTAACAAAAAAAAAGAAAATCCATTAAATACTCATAAAAATTTTATCATGAAAAATAATAAAATTGTCCTTTTTTTCTCTTCCTCTCTCTCTCATACCTCAACTAAATTGAATATAAAATGTAAACTTTTTATGATAAATAAAAGTAACATTTATTTATAATTTATGTAAATAATTAAGTAAACAAATAAAATTTGAATAATTCATTTTTTTTTCGATATATTATAATTCTTTTTTCCAGGAACCTTTTTGCACAAAAAAAAAATTTTTTTTTCACTTATTTATTATAAGTTAAATAGAAATTTTATAAGTTTAACAAGAAGAAAAGCTTTTAGATTATTTTGAAAACACATTTATAATATCCTCTTAGATGACATTCTAATTTATTTATCAGCAATACAAATAATTCATTATTTTTTGTCATTTTTTATTTAATTTTAAAATTGACAAAAGAAATAAAAACTTTGAGACAAATATCTATTCAATTTAACACTAGCCATTTATATAAAATTCTACAAAAATTCACAAATACAAATTATTTTCTACTCAAATTAAAATCAAAACTGTGGTGGGAATTAGTTGTGATCATTTAGGGCCGTGAAATAATAGGTCTCCTCCTATATATAGATTTTCAGGTTTTATCGGGTGGTGATTTGTTGTGGTTCAGGTAGGTTTAGCATTGTCCGTATTGTTTGTTTTTGGATTTATAATCGGTTCATTTCAGGTTAATTTTAGGAATAGGAAAGTAATTGATAGTATGAATTGAAAACTTTGAGACAAATAAGTAAGAGTGTAAATAGTATGCAGAGAAGTAACTGATGGTATGAATTATTTAAATGATAGATAAAGACAACGAAATATAAATAGCACAAGTGTGGATAAAAAAAGTGTTAGATAGTTAGTAAGTTAACTAATTTGAAAGTTGATAATATTTTGATAATATTAATAATTTCAGAATCGATGAAAGGATGAATCTTCGGGTAGCAAAAGCGGATGATTTATTGAATACGCAACATTGCAATTTGTTATGTTTACCCGAAAATTACCAGATGAAATATTACTTTTATCATGCCTTATCATGGCCACAGTTATCGTATGTTGCCGAAGATGATAAGGTAAAAGAGATACCGATAATGGATATCAAATAACTTCTTTTGATCTCATTTTTAGAAATTTATCAAAATTTAAAACCGTAGGCTACTTTACGAAATATTTAAGCAAAGATAGATATGGTCACTTAACTGTTCGACGTGTTAACATATCATGAATTTAGTGTCATCATGTGTAATTGATTTCTTCTATATTTCATCTTGATTTCATTTACTGTTTATTAGCAAACATATTAAGGTGATAGCGGAAGAAATCTAAATTTCGAAATTTTACAAAACAGTGTATATGTGAAAAAAATGAATATTTTTGCTAGAAAAAAAAATGAATATTGTTACTAGAAAACTAAAAGAGATACATCATTTATATAAGTAAAAAGGTGAAGGACAAGTGTCAAACAAATTTTTTTTGAGATTTTTTGAAATTTTGAGATTTTTCAAAAATTTTTTCATTCTCGTTGATTCTCGTTTGTCAGTCTTTTGCTTTCATTATAGGGTTAGATTGTGATACAAAAAAGCCTAATAAGTAGCATTTCAAATAATTATTGCATATTTTATTGCGAAATCAATTAATCAGTCAGTTTTAGGGTAATATTGTTGGTTATGTATTGGCAAAAATGGAAGAAGAAGCAGATGATGAACCCCATGGTCATATTACTTCATTGGCGGTCAAGCGCTCATATCGCCGTCTCGGTCTTGCCCAAAAGTTAATGGATCAAACAGCTCGTGCAATGATTGAAACATTCAATGCTCGTTATGTCTCTCTTCATGTACGTGTATCAAATAGAGCTGCATTGAATCTTTATCAGGTTTATTATTTTTGATAATTTGTCATCTTTTAAGATCTTAAAAACTATTCTTAAATCCTAAAAGAATAACTGAGAAATTATTTCGGTGGTTGATGTTACTGTTTTATGGTGAATGGTATAATATTATAATGTCCTTAAATTCGATATATTCTGGAATAATTCCATCCCTTACAGTTGTCTTATGGAAATAAAAAATGAAAATATTAAAAAGATACATAAATACTTATCGAAGAGTGTCGTCAAAAAAAAAGAAATTTTTTATTAAGGAAAGGATAACTATACAAATGATGAAAATTTCTTTTACAGAACACTTTAAAATTTGAAATTTCTGATGTGGAACCGAAATATTATGCTGATGGTGAAGATGCCTACGCAATGAAACGTCCATTGGTGCAATTTGCTATGGAAAATAATATTGAACCAGCAGATAGGAAAGCATTTTTTAGTACGAAAGAAGAAAGAGAGCATGCAAGGAAGCTGAAAAATAACTAGTATTTCCATTGATTGTTAAAAATCTCAAACTGTGGCAATTATAGCGTGTTAGGATTACTTTTTGTTAAATGAGATGAAATCATTTTGGAATTTTCTAATCAGTGAACTTTTTCTTTAAACCAAAGATTTTGATGATGTGCAAATTTCGAAGGTTTATTTTTTATTCTGCTGCTTAGCTTTGATTTTTCATGTTGTGTGAAATTTCTGTTATTTCACATGGAGAATCTGGCATTTATAATTTAACCAGTTTCATAGATCTCGTTTAATTTTTTTGTTTAGCTTCCGCATATTTTTCTAAAGTTGGTAGAGTTATACACAAATTCTTCGACATTCATCAAAAATTTAAAGTATTTTTCACTTCCGCATTTTAGATACTTTTTTTTTCCCAGCACGAACAGATTTCGATCATCAAAAACAACCTTTGGTATTAGGAATATATTGGACATATTACTAGTAATTAGCTACAGTATTAGAAGTGTGTTGTTGCTGTTAGATTTTAGCTGTTTTGAGATTTTTATAATTATGACTGAAATAATGGTTGTTGGTGGAAAACATTTTCAGAAAAATTTTAAGTTTAGTAAATTTAGCAAAATTAAAAGCGATTTCTGATTTGTTTCTTTCTTCCTTTTTTTTTTTCTATGCAATCACAAATAATATAGGAAAAGCTTACTTTCTTGTCACTCTTGAATTTCTCATTTTTTACTATTCAATTATGTGTGTGGATATGATGACATTTTGGATTAATTGTTATCATGAAAATAACGTGAATGTTTCATCAGATGCTAAAGATAATAATTGAGCAAAAAAAAAAAAAAAAAAAAATGAATGGCAAGATAGTAAATGAAATGATTTCCAAGGAGTCATACACTAATTTCACCTTTATCATTTCATTCATTCGCTTGATAACTTTTCTGCTAATGTAAACAAAATTTAATTTGATAGAAAAATAAAGTATGTTGACAACGATATACTTCTCATATTCATATTCATGACTGAACAATAGTCGGAAAAAATTCATTACTTTCAAATTAATCTTTATTTTTTTTTCCTAGTGGTATAGTAGTTTTATTACTTAGATAAAGTAAATTAACTCGAAATAAGGCTAAATAGAAGTATGAGAAATAGAAAAAAAAGCGCGAATACGATTTATTTAACTAACTGATTGCAAGTACAAATATAAGAAAAAAAATCTGAAATTGAAATGACTGTAACCTAAACATTTTATAAAAGGTAGAGGTGGAGTGGAACGAAAATGAAATTTTAACTTCATTTTTAACTGCATAATTTTTTTCTGTCTCACCTCTAATTGTCATGAAGTAATTAATTTGTTAATGTCTAGTGTTTAAGACAACTGTGTGTAATATTATCAAAATCTGTATAGTTCTGATAATACAATGTAATAATTTAAAAAATTTAAAAAAGGAAAAAAGGAAACATACATTTACTCTTATATTATACTGAATTTATAACAGAAATATAATATTTCAAATTTAAGTAATCAAATTTTATAATACAAAAAAATTTGATTAACAACATGTGCATATTTATATCATAGCTATGAACATATTCAATAATAACTTTGATAGATTATTAGAATAAATATCTAAAAAATGCTATAAACAAAAAAAAAAAAAAAAATACAAACCGGAAAAAAGTTTAAAAAGCTTTTAAGAAGAAATACAACAAAAATTCCTTATATTACAAAATTGAGTTTTTTTTTTTCTTTTCTCCTTTTCTTTTTGTAAAAAAATTTGGATAGAAAGACAGATTATAATAATTGAAACAGTAATAAATCATTTGCAGTTAAAATAGCAATTTATAAAATGAATAAATCAATCATTGTAAACCAATATTTTAAAATTATTTTATTAGTTTGATTAATTTCATTTTACTATAGTTTAGAACAATGAGTTTAAACAATTAATCACATAAAGAGTTAAGAATTTTTTTGAAATTTTAATTTATATATCTATAAAAAAAAAAAATATCAAAAAGTAATTTTAAATTTTAAACGTTTTGTAATTTTGATAGATTGTTTTGTTAGCATAACATTTTTAACTTTTATCAAAAGATAACTGATAATATTGTGGAATATCATTTGAATAAATATATTATCTTCTGTGATTATGCATATTATCAAAATGATAGATAGTTTATCAGTAATTTATCACAAGAATATATCACATTTATACTTATTTATGCTTAAATTTATTCTTCAAACATAAAAGAAAAATGATATTTATTTTTATTTTTTTTATATGGCCTAAATTAAAATATTTTAACCTAAATTAAAATATTTTAACAAAATGTTAAGATCAAAAAAAAAAAGTTTAAAGAGAGACAAAAAGGAGAAGGGAGAGAATTGTGATTTTGTTTGTTTGTTTATATTTTTTTCTAGTTTCTTGCATATGATTTCATTCTTTTTATTTCACTGAAATTTCATTTTTTTTCTTTTTGTTTTAATTATAATATTTCAATTTATTTCATTTCATTTCAATGATATGTTATCTTCTTTTAGTTTTCTTTTTTTTTTTAAAGATCTTTTCAGTTTCAAATATTTTTGCAAATCTTTTTTTTTGGTAAAATAGTTCAATTTATTGGATTTTTAGTATAATTTTATGCATATATGATTGTAAGTCACTTAACATTGAGTAAAAACTTTCGTTGTGACAATCTTTTTGAAATGAATTATTTCCATTTTTTTTTTTTTATTCAATTTAAGATTTCATCCAATAATCAAAAATTTGAAATAAAAGTTTGACTAAAATATATTGTAAAGTGAATATGCAGAGAACTTTTTTTTTTCTTTTTTTTTGTTTATTCTGACTTTTCGAAGTTAAGTAAACAATCGGTCGTTCCGATAATGCCCAACAATTTTCTTCCCCGGAAGATTATTTTTCAAAACTATTTCAGTTTTTTTTTTTTTTGCTTTATTGATTTAAAATACTATATAAAATCATGATAAGAAAAGTGATAAGTATTCTGATCAGTGATTAGAGCCATTTCTTTGGATAATTTGAATCGATGACGATAATTCGAAATGACCATCAAATGATTAATCACTAAATCGATATAATAGAAATTAATAAAATATCACTTTAGAATGACACTTTACTACTTCAACTTTCTGTCCCATTTTTAATTAATTTCAGCAATGTGTTAGATTCAATTTCTTATGGTCGATGGATATTTATAAAAAAGTAATATTTGAAAATTCGATTAATAAAAGAAATTTTCCATCAACCGATTGACAATGGAAGAAATTTTACTCTGGTAGAACTTTACTCATCGTCCATTTCAATAATTTCATAATTGTACGACAAGTCCGAGAGCGCTCATTTATTATTATTTCATTGATTTCACGTGCTTTTGACAGTTTCTCTTCAAAAATCTAAAAAAAAAAATCAAAGAACGCATCGCCTAAATTTGCATAGCATTAATTAATTAATTAATTAATTAATTAACATTACAAAAATAGTAGTACACAAGAATAATTCTATTTAATTACAAAAGCCAATTTAATTTGTTTCAATCAGAGAGGTAAAGAGGTTTTCTGTGTGAGAGAGAGAGAGAGAGAGAGAGAGAATTTCTGTGATTTATTTAAAATTAAGAGAGAAACCTCTCGTCTATGTTCCGCTTTCAGTTCAGCCATTTCCGCAATATGTTGAAATTTGGCCACTTCAGCTTTCATTGTTTCGTTGCGCTGCTTAACTAACATGAATTCAAATTCTCTCTTATTTTTGTTGTCCTTTTCAACTAACTGCTGGCGCAGTTGTCGCACTTCAGATGTAAGTTCATCATTTTTTATAGCTTTCTTCTTCCATTCTCCCATTTCACACTCCAATTTTGATTTCTCTTCATTATACTTCTCCTGTTGACATTTCCATAATACTTCCAATTCTGTTTTTTGAGCTTTCATCTGATTCAATTCCATTTGCATTGCAATGTACTGCAAAAAAAACAATATTAATCAAAGATATCAATGAAAATTTTTGTTAATGAAATTTTTTTGCATTTCACAAAATTTCAATGTCAAAAAAATATATTTGAAAAAAGCGACAAAAATTTTTAAAGCTATTTTTTTTCATTTTTTCCTCTTCTTTTCAAACAACAAATAAATCAGAAATGATTGAAAATTAGCATAATTTACTCTGTACGTGAAATCATTGCCTTCATTGTCCACTACTGCTGGTATTAGTTTTTTTAGCGAAACCAGTTGCGCCTTCAAATCGAACACTTCCGCCATAAGATTCTTGTTTTCCTCCAAAATTTCATCAGACACTGTGTCTAAATTTTTTTCAGCTGGTATGGCAATATTTTGAAGACAATTGTAAACAAAAAGAAAATCAAAAAAACAGAAAATTAACCTTCTTTAGGATTTTCTTTTAGCAAACTCTCTGTGATATTCTTATCACCTTGGTTGCTACTAGTGATATCACTATTCTTGTTAATTGTTACACTTGTATTGCCTTCAGATGTCATCCTAAATTCATTGTCATTTTGTCTCACCTCCATAATTTGTTGAAATTTGATTTTAGAAACCGATCACTTCCTCAGTTTTTTAAAAAATTTTATAACTATCAGTAATCCTTCTGGAAAGCATCCATCACACCTCACAAACAACCAACCTTAATTCTACGTTAATTCCACGTGAAGTAAAACGATAGACGAATGAAGATTGAACTCAAATATTGAGCAAATGATCAAAATGAAGAGAATAGCCATATCGATACCTTCCTTATATACCATTCCAAAAAGTTGCAAAAAATTTTTCATAAGAAACTTTTCAAATATATGCAAATTTAAGTTGTATTAATTTTCATATTCTACATTTAATGTTTATAAAACATTATGAAAAAAGCAATATCCAATGAAGAAAATCAATTGATAAAATTTTTCTTTTTTCTTCTTTTATCAATTCATTTATTTTAATTTATCACATCATGCAATTTTTGAAGTAAAATTATGAATTTTCTTCTTATAATCTCAGAAAGAAAGAATTAATTAATTATTGCTTAATTTTTTAAAATAATTATTTATTTACTACAATTCGTATTATTTGTTATAAATTTTAATACTATAAAATAATTAAATTTACCTTACTCTTATTAATTAGCATGCTAAGGTAATAACACTTTACGATGAATTGATAGACAACTCATTTTTTTCCATTTATATATTTTCATGTATTACTTTAAATGACTTCAATTTCAAAGAGTATATTTAAATCATTTCAAAAGTTTTTTTTTTTCTTTATAATTATTCTAAGTAAAATAAATTCGATTAATTAGGCAGTGAAAATATTTGCGAATTTTTAAAGAATAAATTTATAATTAAATTAAATATCAAACATTTTACAAAATTCTGCTCAAATTCATATTTACATTTAAAATCTTATCAAAATATTTAAACGCCATTAAATAAATTTAAATGATGTAAAAATAATACATATGAATTAATATAAACTGCATAAAGATAAGAGCAATACATCAAAATATATTAATTTAATTAATTAATTTAAATATTGAGAATTATACGATCTTATCAATAATGGCAATTTCTAATTTATCATTTCAAATTTAATACTATTAAACTTTTCACTTTTCATTATGCTTTATTTTTAAAACAAATTAAAATTAACGTTTCGTTCAGAAAAAAAAAGGAAAAAAATAAAACGCTCTAATAATTAGGAATAGTTAAAATTCATATTATCTATTCTATCAATATTGATTGCAATTATTTATCACCATGCTTTCTTATCAGCACCAAAGATATCTTGATTAACACCAGCTAATGTTTGATAATTTGGATCAAATGTTCCAGCCTATAATGATAAATTCATTTATACATTTTATTTTTATCTGCTTCTCATATATAAATATAATTAATTATTTTCAGCAATAAATTTTAAATATTATATCTTTTTTGATTTTATAGTACATTCGCCAGATGGTAAATCTCAAGAACTGTAAAACTGCAAAAAGTTAATATCATTTGATAATCAAATACAAGAGCAAATCGTATTCCATCTGATAATATTACCGGATAGCAAAACGGGTTTTAACTACCGGTTGCTCATCCTGTCTTTATATCACTTTTTTTTATCATTTCTTATCAAATATAAATTAGACAGCGGTCTCACTTCATAATAATTAGTTATAATGATAATAATAATGATAATAATATTAAATAGCAATACTAATAATAATGATATGCTTTTTTTATCTTTCTGATTAGATCTTACCAGCACCAAAGATATTTTGATTACCAGCAGCTAATGTTAAATAATTTGGATCAAATGTTCTAGCTTATATGTAATTTCTAACTATAAAATACCTTCCAACTATCAAATTATTCCAAATTATCAAAAATAATAGAAATATCATTAAAAAATGAATATGGCAAATTTTTTCTAATTTAATTATTTTTAAAAATTAAAAAAAAAAATGTTCCTATTCGAAAGTCTATTTTTTTGTTTTTATTTCAGATTGTTTTTTTCTTTCTACTTTATCTTATTGTAATCAAACTAATGTCAAAATTAGAAAAAATTCTTTTTTCATTAATTAATTAATTTATTAGTTAGTAAAATGATGTTTGGCACTAAAAGTAGAGGAATAATTAATTGGTTAGTCTAATTATTAAATTTAATAAATTCAATCAAAAACATTTTCTTAACCTTTCCTGCTGGTGTACTAGGTGCACGAATAGGTGTAGGCGATTCACTTTTCTTATCTGCGCCAAAAATATCACCGCCAACAGCAGCTAATGTCTAAAATAAAATTCTTTATTCTTAGCAAATTAAAGTGTGTATTTGAAATTTGCTAAAATTTAAAAAATTTCTTTAAAGAAATTTAAATTTATTTGTATTCTATCACATTTAGAATTAATATTTAGAATTATTACCTGATAATTTGGATCAAATGTACCAGCTACAGCACCTTGATTTGCTGGTTTGCTTAGATTTACACCGCCACCTGCCTTATCCTCGCCAAATATATCTGCGCCTACAGCGGCCAAAGTCTAATTTTGTATAAAAATTTAATAAAATCAAAAAATTCGAATTGAAATATTTTTAACGAAAAATCTAACCAAATATATTGATCAATTTGAAAAAGAAATTTTTATTTAATCGTTAAATTTAGTAATGCATAAATAATTTAAAATGATGAATTTGCATTTAAAAATTTTAATGATGGAAAAAATTGTGAAATTATAAATTTCTTTCTTCTCACTTTCACAGATTTTTTGAAATAGTTCAACAACAATAATTTGTTTTATCTGTAAGATTAAAAATTAAATTTTTTTTTGAAAAAAAACTTTTTTTTATAATTACCTGATAATTTGGATCGTGTGTACCAACCATTCCACCTTGTGTTGGTACCTTTGGTAGAATTACTGGTGATGGGCTAAAACCACCAGCTATTTGCTTATCACCACCAAATATATCAGCACCAATACCAGCTAAGGTCTGAATAGCTTTTCTTTCTTTAAAAAAAAAAAAAAACTTCATAAATTAAAATATTATTGATAAAAAGTGATAAAATGAGAATGTCAAAATTAAAATAAAATATTTTAATAAAAATTTTATCTCCTAATAATATTGATAACTGTATGATTCATTGCTAATTATAATAAACTATTAAAGCTACTAAATTCATAATACAAATGAAAATGCAATTAATAGAATTTCTTAAAATAAAAAAAAACGAAAACTTATTTTCCATTTGTGCCAGATTTTTCCTTTTTCATTCAAAAATTTTTTCCTCTTTCAAATTTAATCAAAGCTAATAATTGGGTTCTTATTTAATTTAGTTTTAATTCAATTTCAAATTAGTTTTTATCCAGTTTTTTTTAAATTTAATTAAAAAAATTTTTTCCTCAAAATTATATTAGCTTAACCAATATTTTTTTTTTTATCAAATGAAATTACTATTTGATAGTTTGTTTAGCTAATTATTAAAATTAAATTAAAGAAAAAAAAAAGATTAAAGTACTACTTGATAATTTGGATCATGTGTACCAGCTAATCCACCTTCAGTTGGCCGTTTTGGTGCTTGAGCAGGTACAACAGCAGCAGCAGCAGCAGCTTTTTGAATTTTAGGCCTCGGTTTTGCTATAAAAATTTTTTTTTTTTTTTACAAAAAAAAACAAAACAAATTTATTTCTTTTTTTTTTAAAAAAACTTAATAATTTTAATAATTTACTAACTTATTAGCATTGTTTCATTCAAATTCTCTTCATTATCTTCTACAACTGATTTCTTTTTCTTCTTTTTCTTCTTCTTCTTCTTTTTCTGCTCAAACATTTATTCAATCATATACGATTTGAATAAATTTACAAATTTTATCCTTAGAAATTTGAAATACTGTAATTTTTTTTAAAAAAAAAAATTTGCAAAAATTTCATAGTTCAATGATTTTTTTTTTTTTTGCTGATATTTACGTATAAATTATACTTACAATATGCTTATTTACCTTTCATTATACAATATTTTGTTTATTCAATATTAATCAGTGATAAAAAATTGTCTTAATTATAACATTATTAAGTTAAATTTTATCAGTTCAATCAAATTTGTTAAGTTAAAAGTCATCAGTTTAATCAAATTTATTCAGTTAAAATTTATCAATTTAATCAATGGCATTAATGAGTAAGAACTTTAAACTGAATTAAAATCATTCATTTCTTTTTAAAAAAAAATTAATTATTAGCTTATTTTGTTATCAATTTAGTCAAATTATCATGTAAATGAATAAAAGCTTTAAAGTGAATAAAAAAATAAAAATTGAAATTATTCATTGAAAAAAAAAACAAAAAATAATAAATTATTAACTTACTTTACGACAACAGCAACACATCGGCAAAGTATATGTTATCACTGGCAAAATTTGAAACGTAAAATTTGTAATAATAATTAATAAAACGGGAAATTCGAGTAGGAATGACACTGTGGTAAATGTTGCATTTATCATTTCTAAATTTTTTTTTTTTTTTAAATTTCCAATAAGTTTTTTCCTTTTTTCTTTTTCTTTCTCCCTCTCTCTCTTTTTTCTACTTCTATTAACCAAAATTTGTATAATTTTGATTATCTAAAAATGCGAAAAATTTTTTAGGAGTATTGGATGTAATTATTAAAAGAAATTAATGTTATTATACCAATCTAATTTACAATGGTTTATATTAATGTTCTAACTTAATTTAGTTATTATTAAGATTAATACTGTTATTCTAACTTAATTTAACTATGATAAAAAATTAATAATTGCTATTTTAGCTATATTTATAAACAAATATTTATAATTATGATTTGTTCAATTTTCCAATTTGCTATACTTATATTATCCAGAGAGAATCCATACAGATTATCCAGTTTTGGTCAAAAAAAAAGTTATAAAAAAATCAAAATAATCACTAAATTAACTAAATAAATTGATTTGAATAAAAACTTTTTAAGCAACAAAAAAATTGTTAGATTAAGATAG